GATCCAAGAGGTACTGGAACAGCAAAAGGAGCGGCCAGGGGGGTGTGAAACCTGCCCAGATGTTAATTAATTATTAATTCCTTGGTTTCTTTTAATTATTTAGTTTTTTTCCTTTATGGCACTAAAGCAAACAGGCTTAATTTTGAGCTAAAATATCAGCAAGAAGAAGATTTCTATGTCTTCTGGCTTTGCTGTTACGTATTTTAACTTTAAATTTGTGCATTTTGTGGGATTTTTGATTCAGCAATATTAGGGGAGCACCCAGCTTTCCTAGGAAGTCTTTGGGTGTGTTAAAAATACAAATCAAACCTTTGGAAACTTGAATCCAACTGTGTGCATGAAACAGCCTGACATTTCATTTAATTTAATTTTGTTTTGTTTTATTTTTGTTTTATTGTATTTTTATTTGATTTATTCTATTTTTATTTTACTTTATTTGTTATTTTATTTCATTCTGTTTTACTCTTTTTATTTCATTCTGTTTTATTCTATTTTATTTTAATTCTATTTTTATTTTATTTTACTCTGTTTTATTCTATCTTAATTTAATTTTAATTCAATTTTAATTTTATTTTTATTTTATTTTCATTATTTTATTTGAATTATTTTAATTTTCTGAATTTTATTCTATTTCATTCTATTCTATTTTATTCTATTTATTCTATCTTAATTCTGTCTTAATTCTATTTTAATTCTATTTTAATTTAACTTTAATTCATTTTTTAATTTTCATTATATTTTTATTTTAAAAATTTTATTTCATTTTATTCTATTTTATTTCATTTCACTTTATTGTCTGGGTGTTTTTTTTTCATAGGGTGGACTTGATGATCTCAAAGGTCTTTTCCAACCTAGTTAATTCTGTAATCTGCAGTTCAGGGAGGGCAGGGAGTTAATTCTGCAGGAATGGAAGTGAGCAGAGCAGTCTGGCTGCCAAAGCTGGTGCGAAAACCAGCCAAGGATTTATTTTTTAGCACCATCAGCTCAAACTGAGAGCGCAGCTCGAGCTGAGGGGCTGGAAAATGTCATGGCTGATGTGTTGGTCTCTTCAGCTTCCTCATCGTGGAGCCCAAGCTGCAATTTCAACTCTTTGTTTCTGTGAAAAAGCTCAAATCTGAGAGATATTTTTACTGCCACTGTGAAGTTCTGGTTTGGGGTTGATCCTGGCATGTGCCACACTTGGTCTCGTTATTTATTATTCTGGAATAATCTTCCTGTTCCTCGTGAAAACCATGGTGGAAATGGCTTTTGCACTAATTCCTACTGTCTTCGGGTCAGCTTCTGGTTTTTGTTATTTCTGCTTTTGATAAAACAGCTACAGGAGGGCACAAAGTTCATTCCTGAATTAGCCCAAGCTAATTGTGTGTATTTTCCCTCAGCTTTGTGATACTCAAGATGAAGTGGCCCAGACTCTGGCTGGAGTAGGGATCAATGGTCTGGGTATGTCCTGGCCTTTTTATCCTTTGCTCATCCCTTCCCTGCTCCTCCTTTTCCTGCTCCTTCTTTTTCCTGCTCCATCTTTTTCCTGCTCCGTCTTTTTCCTGCTCCGTCTTTTTCCTGCTCCTTCTTTTTCCTGCTCCTTCTTTTTCCCTCTCCTCCTTTCCCCGCTCCCTCCTTTCCCCGCTCCCTTTTTCCTGCTCCATCCCTTCCCTGCTCCCTCCCCACATCCAGCAATTTCCTGGGGCAATAAACCCTTCCCTAAGTACCAAAGTTGGTGCCTTGCAGGGAATGGGGAGCAGGGAGTTCTCCCCTCTGACTTTCTCCATCTCAGATTCTCCTGGTTTGGGGCTGGATTTCAGTTCAAAGCTGTGTAACGTGGATTAAAATCCATTTTTGCTGTGGCTGCTGCTTTGTTTTTTTGGAGTGATCAGCTTTCTCCTCCAGCCTGGCTGCTGCTGCAGCTTGTTTGCCTCTGCTGAAAGGTGCCAGAGTTTCTTGGCCTCAGTGCCAAGAAAAAAAATTCTCCTCTCTGAGATCAGGACTAAATTTTAAGTCCATTAAAAGAAGCAGAGGAAATTCCTTGTGAGTAACGATGGGAGGAATAACAGCTCTGTTTTAGATCTCAGGCTGTGCTGTGAGGATGCCACTGAATTCTTCTTGGAGCTGAAATGTTTTCTTTCATCAGCAGAGATGGACTCTGAGGAGCTGGAGAAGGAGCTGGACAGTCTCCTGCAGGACTCGAGTAAGGATTCCGTGGATCTGCCTCCCGTTCCCCAGATGGTGCTGAGTGCCCGTGTCTCCGATGCCGAGCTGGAAGCTGAGCTGGAGCAGCTCTCTGTGTCTGCTGGAGGTGGGAATGGCAGCAGGGCCTGGGAATGGCAGCAGGGCCTGGGAGGGAGCTGCTCCGGGAGCTGGGACAGCCCTGAGCAGCACAGGGGGTCAGCAGAGCTAAACCAAATCCTGGGAGAGCTGGGAATTCTTCCTGAATCCTGGTTCAGTCAATCCTAGGCCTGGGAGAGCTGGGAATTCTGCCTGGATCCTTTGCCTAGGGTGGACGGAAAGCTGAGGGCTCTGTGAGGGAGCTGCTGCTTGGACTAATTGCTTTTTAAAATTGAACAAAGGCAGTGTTGGGAAGGATGAAACAGACAGGACTTGTCCAGCACTCAGCATCTTCCCTGGAATGCTCTTTATGTGGGACAGGCCTGCTTAAACTGGGCTTTATTTACTGATAAGGAAATAAATAATAAAATAATTTAAATTATTTTAAAAAATCAATCATATTTTATGATTTATATCCTATGATTTAGTAACAGTGAATGACCAGAGTTTATCGGCTTGAGCTGAGCTTTCCCTACATTTGTCTTGGACAGTTTCAGTTTTCCTTTTGTGAATCTGTTCATGGACAATTCCACAGGATTGGCCATGTAATTTTCCTTCTGTTTGGACAGGTTATAAGCTCGATTTCCAAAGCATTCCATATCAAACATGGAATGTGTGATTCCAGAGGGATGGAACATGTGATTCCAGGGGGATGGAGCTGAGCAGGGAAGCACAAAGTACTCTGGAATTCTATGGAGTAGTTGTGGATGTGTTTGATTGAGTTCTGATCTCTGTTGCAATTCTATTTGTAGATCTGGCACAAAAGACTCCCTCTGCTTCTTCTGAACCCAAAACAGCTCTGGGACTGAACCTCTGAAGAGCCAACAGAATCCTGTTGCTGCAGTTTGGGAAGTTGTCTCAATGTTCCTTAAGTCATGACCAGAACTTCCAAGGAGACGGGGACACCCCCCTGTCCTTCTGGATCTGTCTTTGCTCAGCAGCAGGAGCTCCTGCCATGACAATCCGCTCTGGACCTGGCCCCAGCTGGTGTTTGTCATCTCTGTGCCAACATCTGCACTGGTCTCGACCTGACTTGTGACGCCAAGTCACTGCCACATCCAGTCTTCCCTCCTGGGAATACAGCTCCAGCGAAGATAAACTCTTCTGTGTCCATAACAGTGCTCAGTTTTGGGTTTGATTTTGATTTCTCTTCCTTTGCTGTGGCTGGTGTTGAGAATCTGAGTAGCAGCAGCATTGCAGTGGCTCCGCGCTCGCTCTTTGTGTGGTTGTTTAGAACACTTGGCACGTCAGTTCTGCCCTTAGCCAGGTAAAACACCTGGTGGTTGTTGTTCCCTCCCTCTGAATCCTGCACTCACAGCCAGGCACTGGAACTGCTCAGTTTTAGGAGATTTTGGTGCTGCTCAGACAGGGCAGCAATGAAGCACAAAAGAATCCCTCTCTCTGGAATGACGTGAAGGCCTTAAAAGGGAGACCTGCAAAAGATTCCCCTGGAGAAGTTTCAGGCTCTTGTGGCCAAGGTTGGGCGCTGTCATCCAGCCTCTTTCTGCTGGATTTCATCTTGGAATTGGAGCTGGTGGCTGTTTTTGTGTCCTCCCTGTAAGCAAAACTTCATGGGAGCTGCAGGGTGATGGTTCTGAGCTGCCACGGAGGGATTTGGGGTGGGAAGAGAAGGGATCCCTTGGGAGAGCACAGCTCCACAGAGTAGCCTTGGCTTTGCCTTCAGCCCTGGCGCTGCATCCCACAGGATTGTTCCCAAAAAGGCCCAAACCCAGGCCCCCTGTGGATGTTTTTGATGCACAAAACCCTAAGCTCCACACCTGCAGCTGCTCCAGGGCTGTCTCTCCCCACACGAGCCAAACTCTCGTCTTTTGCAGGTCACTTTTACCCCTGGCATGCATGAGGGAGCATGGGAAGCCCAAATCCCTGAAAAATGGAGCTTCCAGGAGGGAAATGTGCCCTTCCCTGGGATTCCTGAGCATGGCAGGAGAGTGCCTGGCTGCCTGTGGATGGATCACCAGCCCTGTGCCCCTCTCCCTGACTGGGAATGTATCCCAGCACCACTGGGAATGTATCCCAGCACCACTGGAATGTATCCCAGCACCGCTGGGAATGTATCCCAGCACCACTGGAATATATCCCAGCACCACTGGAATGTATCCCAGCACTGCTGCGAATGCGTTCCAGCACCACTGGGAATGTGTTCCAGCACCACTGGGATGTAATCCAGCACCACTGGGAATGTGTTCCAGCACCACTGGAATGTAATCCAGCACCATTGGGAATGTGTTCCAGCACCACTGGGAATGTGTTCCAGAACTTCCACGCTGCCTCTCCCAACTCCATTCCTTGGTGGCAGCTCAGGATAATGGGAATGAGGGCTGGAGTTTCCCCTCCTGGTGATCATTTCTTGCTTGCTCAGCCCCAGCCCAGGGCCAGGGGTGGCACTGGGGCTGTCCCCAGGGTGGCACTGGGCTGTCCCCAGGGGCTGTGTCCCCTCTGTCACCTCTCACCAGTGCAGGCTCCTGCCAGGGGAGGCTGCAGCTCCCAGTTCCCCCATGGAATGATGTGAAATGACTTGAAGCTCTGGATTCCTTTCCTCTGGAAGTAAACGGGAGAAAAACCTTGGTGTTTTCTGCCTGTGTGTGACAAAAAAGGGGGACGGGAGGGACCCAAGGAACCTCCTGTGCTTTTTCCCTCTTCCAGCTGCTGTTCCAGCTGTGCTGGAATGCAGGGATACTCCTGGGCTGCTTTATCCAAACCCAAACTAAGCAACTGCTCCACCAGACTTTAAGCTGGGTTTAAAAAGCCCATTATTAAATATTAACACATTAATAATTGGTCTGTTTTTCCTGAGCAGCCTCTGCTGCTTTTTGGGTGGCACCACCTTCTTTCCTGGTGTCATTTTGGACACAGTTCCTGCTTTTCCTTTCCCCTTTTTTATCACTCTGCATCTCAAATCTGCACTTTCAAGGCTCACAGTCACAGCCCTTTGCCTAAACCACTTTGCCCATGGAGAAAAGGAAATCAGCTCTAAGGAACCCCTTGGTTTTGTACCAGACAATTCCTAAAGCTGATTTTGGGACATTTTTTTCACCTAGCTTGTTCTAATTGTAATTAAGCAGCTCGGACTGGGAGCCTGGTACTGGTTTTCCCTCTGCCTGAAGAAAATTGATGTAAATTGAGTGGCCTGGTGTATAAAAAAAACAGATTTCCCTCTAAAACCATGATGCCTAAACCTGGAATTCCCAGGCTGTTGATGCTGTTTCATCTGGCTGAGGTTTGATCTGATCCCTGGAGAGCTCCCATGGATTTTTTACAGGGCTCAGGCCTTGCCTGCAACCTGGATTTTTTCAAATCTGACTCCTCCTTTCTCTCCTGATCCCAGAACTTGTTCTTTCCCTAGAAATCCAGCAGGATTCCTGCAGGAATAAGCACTCCTGTAATCCTGGGATGCATCAGCCGTGCAGGAAGCGACACTGAGGAGTTAAACCCGAGCAGCTGCTGCTTTATTTGGAGTGGCTGGTAATTTTCTGCCTTTGATGCAGAGTGGGGGACGTAATCAGGGTGCCTGAATGGAGAATTTTCAGGATATTTTGGTGAGACAGCAGGGAAAGGAAATCAAGGGCAGCCTCTTGCTGGGTGAGGAAATTAAATATAAAACTTTGAGCTGAATTGCCACCAAACTGGAATCTTCTTACGCTGGAGAGCTGTTTAAAATAGTACTTAACTCGAGCCTGGAAAAAAAATAGTACTTAACTCGAGCTTGCTGAACTCTTGATTATAAAATAATGCAGCTTCCTTAGGGGTGGGAGATGTGTTCTCTCACAGGGGGAGCTGCTGGCTTTGCTTTGCATCAGGAGTGGTCCAAAATGCTCAGAAATTGGGCAAATTGGATCCCATCCCATCTTCCCACACCAACTCACTGCAGCTGAAGGGAGAGCAAGGGGAGCTCCTTTCCTACGGCCTCAGGTTGTGCCAGGGGAGGTTTAGGTTGGAAACTGGGACAAAATCCTTCATGGAAAGTGTCAGGCGCTGGAAGGGTGGAATTGCCATCCCTGAGGGGGTTCCAGATGTGGCACTTGGGGACACAGTTTGGGGGTGGCCCTGGGCAGGGCTGAGGCCACACTTGGACCTGGTGGTCTTGAAGGTCTTTGCTGACCTTAACAGCTCTAAAATTTTGTATTTTGGAGCTCCTGGGGAGGAGAAACTGATTTGTATCTCAGAGACGGATTTCCTGGGAACTTCCTGGCTTGGGATGTGCCACCATGAGCTGCCAATGCCACCCTCAGCTGTCATTTACTGAGGTGGCACATCCAGTGCCACCCTGCTGGGCTGGGACAGAGCAGTGCCACCACTGTCATGGGTGACAGATCAGTGTCACCCTGCTGGGCTGGGACAGAGCAGTGCCACCATTGTCATGTGTGTGACAGATCAGTGTCACCCTGCTGTGTGGGACAGAGCAGTGTCACCCTGCTGGGCTGTCACAGGTCACTGCTACCCTGCTGGGCTGGGACAGAGCAGTGCCACCACTGCTGTGTGTGACAGATCAGTGCCACCTTGCTGGCCTGGGACAGATCAGTGCCACCACTGCCATGTGTGTGACAGAGCAGTGCCACCCTGTCCTGCCGCAGGTCCCTGCCCTCACTGCTCACTCGGACAGCAGTGCCAGCATCCCGCTGTCTGTTCCTGAGATCCTGGAAACCTTTGTGTCTGGAGCAGGGATTGGGAGGAAAACTCCCTGTGGGGTGCAGAGAGCAGAGGAGGGGAGAGCTCTGCCAGGGATATCCTGAGTGGAAAAGGACCCAGACACCCCAAAATCCCACCCTGGGCATCCCTGGGAACGGTGTCCAACACTCCTGGAGCTCCGGCAGCCTCGGCCCGCGCCATTCCCTGGGAACTGTCCCGGTGTTTATTCCAGAACCTTCCCTGCTCTCCAGCCCGCCCTTGCCCTGAGCCAGCTCCGTGCTTTTCCTCTGCTGGAATCCCGAATTCCCGAGGGCAGGCACTGCTCCATGCGCCGGCCGCTGGTGCCATCTACCCTCGCTCCCTGGAACAGCGGCGCTGCGGGCGGCGGCACTAATGAGGCTTAATTAATTAAACCCGGCAAAGGCCGTGATACGGGGACAAGGAGCGAGCCCGGGCTGTGTCTTCCAGGGAGTATCGGCTCCTTGTTGGGGAGGGCTCGGGACACGTCCTGCTCTCCCCGGGCTCGGCAGAGCCGGCTCGGGGTGATGGATCCGGGCTCGGCAGAAGTTTCAGAGTACAAAACTTCCACGTTTGTACAGGATTTTTAGATGGGTTTTTTCCCTTTTTTTTCCCTGGAGAAGGAATTTTGCAGTGGACAGTAAATGCCAGTTTTGCACCAGCTCAGGGCAGGGAGGAGTGATTGGTTTGGGGTCATCTGAGCTGTGACTCAGCACCTGGGCAGGGAAATCAAGCATCTTTTATGCAGAAATCACAATAAATTTCTGTGCTCATTTGCATTGAGGACCCTCAAATCTGACTGGAATGATTATTTCTCCCCTTCAACCCCCTCACTAATTCCCAGTGACTGACTCACCCTGTGGATCCACACGTTCTCCCAGCTCCGAGGGGCAGAGCCAGGTCCCACCCGAATGAAATCCATAGGGATTTGGCTCCAGAGGGAAGAGCAGCCGGGTTTGGGAGCAGGGAGCGGCTGCAGGAGCAGAGGGAGCTCAGACCTCTCTTGCTCCCGACAGCGAATCCCAGCCTGGCCAGGGAAGGGATCTGGGAATTCCACAGCAGGCACAAGATCAGCAGCAGGTGAAGAGGAGAGAGGAGAGGGAAGAAGATTTCAGCAAAGGCTGCCCAGCCCTGGAGGTGAGCGTGGGCTCCCGGGAGCAGCGGTGGGAGGCCGGAGGGAAAATCCAAACTCTGTCAGCAGAGACCTGGAAAGGACTGAGAGCTTCCAGCACTTTTCCTGTGCTGACAGTGGGATTGGATTGCAGCTGGGGCTTCGGAGATGCTGTGGGAGCAGGGAAAACGGGAAAACATGCTCTGGATGCTGATGGTGAGCAAATGAGAAACCTCGGCAGGACCGGATAAACAGGGAAGCCATGGACGGGTTTTACCCCTCTGCAGGAGGAGCAGGGCAGGACGTGCTCAATGCAACCAGCTGGGCAGAACAGAGCCACTCTCTGCTGTCCCTGCGTGTGGTGACAGCCACCTGCCTGGCCCTCATCCTCTCCACGCTGCTGGGGAACACCCTGGTGTGTGTGGCCGTGCTCAGGTTCCCACAGCTGCGCTCCAAGGTCACCAACCTGCTTGTGCTCTCCTTGGCTGTGTCTGACCTGCTGCTGGCTGTGCTGGTGATGCCCTGGAGAGCGGCCACTGACGTGCTGGGCTCCTGGCCCTTCGGGGCTTTCTGTGACCTTTGGGTGGCTTTTGACATCATGTGCTGCACGGCCTCCATCCTCCACCTGTGCCTCATCAGCCTCGAGCGCTACTGGGCCATCACCAACCCCTTCTGCCATCAGAGGAGGGTGACACAGCGTGCGGCCTTGGTCACCATTGGGGTGGCTTGGCTGCTGTCCCTGCTCATCTCCTTGGTCCCCGTGCAGCTGCAGTGGCACAAGGAGCCCCTGAGCTGGGAGCAGCTGGGATTGAACAGCTCTGTGGAGGAGGGGAGCTGTGATTCCAGCCTCAGCAGGACCTACACCATCTCCTTATCCCTCATCAGCTTCTACATCCCTGTTGCCATCATGCTGGTCACCTACGGCTGCCTCTTCCTCATCGCCCAGCGCCAGCTCCGCGGGATCTCCTCCCTGGAGAGACCGGCTGGACATGCCTGGAGCTGCCCTCAGGAAACCTCCCCGAAAAACTCCCTCAAGAAGGAGACCAAGGTGCTCCAGACCCTCTCCATCATCATGGGTGTCTTCGTGTGCTGCTGGCTGCCCTTCTTTGTGCTCAACTGCCTGGTGCCCTTCTGCGACACCGAGCCGGGCGGCCCGGGAGCGCTGCCGTGCATCAGCAGGACCGTGCTCAGCACCTTCACCTGGCTGGGCTGGGCCAACTCTGCCCTCAACCCCATCATCTACGCCTTCAACATGGAATTCCGCAGCGCTTTCGCCTCCCTGCTGGGCTGGGGCCGCCTCTGCCCCAGGAGTGCCATGGAAGCAGTGACCTTCAGCAAGGAGCTGGTGTCCTTCCACCGCAACACCGCTGGCCACAGGGCTCTGGAGACCTCCAGCCACCCCCAGCTACTGCCCCATGCTGTGCTGCAGGTGGAAAACCACGAGGTGACCTTGGAGAGGGCTTCTCCAGGCTCCTCTCCCTTTCCTGAGTGTGGACGCCCCATCCAGCTGGGGAGGATTCCCCCACCTTCCCACAGCCCCTTCCACTGAGCCTGGGGTGGGAAAGGAGTGGTGGGAAGGTCTCCAGCAGAGAGGGAAGCTGGGACATTCCTGTCACTGCCCATTCTCTGAGGAGCTGAGGATAATGAGGGAGTTTCACCCTGATTGCATCACCGAGTGTGGAATAGCCAGAGTGGTTTTCCAGGTGTCTCCAGCCATGTTTTTGTAACTGAATTTCGGTCCCAGCCCAGGTGGGCAGCAGGGATTTGTGTTGCTGCTTTCTCCAGTTCACCCATGGAGAAAAAACCTCACTTTCTGCAAAAGATGGAAATGGAAGGGCTGGAATTCAACTTTACCAGTGACTTCAGCTGAGAGAGCAGAGACGGTTCAGTTTCCTGAGCCCCTCCATGGTCAAGAAGTGAAAACCCTATGGCTGCAGGGAGAGGCGGCTTTGGCCACTTGTCCTGTGGCCACCAGCCTGAGGCTGCTGGATGGGCACTGGCCAAATCCAACTGGACACTGGCCAAATCCAACTGGTCACTGGCCTGGGGCTGCTGGCAGAACTGGTCAATCCTGCCTGGAGCTCTGTGGGGTGATGCTGGGCTGTGTGGCACCTCCAGCCATGGAAAGCCAGTGGACTGTGTGAGAAGGAGGCGCTGGATTTGCCAGGATAACTCTCCTGGCCTCACCCCTGTCTGTTCCAGTCCCCAGGAGCTCAATGGATGTTCCAGGATAACTCCCCTGGGCTCACCCTGGGCTCTCCCTGTGCTCAGGAACTTGTCCTGCAGGTCTGGCCACCTTCCCTGGAGCCCTGGGGCTGTGTCTGGAGCTGTTGCAGGATGGATTTGGAGCCTCCTCGAGCTGGGATCGCCCAGCTGAGGGCTCTGGGCAGGGGTCAAAGCCGTGTTTTAGCCCCTGGATGTTTGGAACCTTTGGGAATGAAGGTGTTGGAGCCCTCCAGAGGGCATTGTCCAGGTTTCTGCTCCTCCAGCCCACTCTGCTCCCCCAGATCCTCCTGTTGTGAGGCCCTTCCTTTCCTTTTTGCTTTATTCTCCCGCTAATTCCCTTCCTCCTCCATTTCATTACGGATCCTTCTGTCCCCCAAGCTGCCTGGTCTCAGCGATGAAGGCTCCTCAGAACCTCTGCTCGCTCGCCAATCGACTTCTGGAAGTTTCTGTGTGACTGGAGGGGTCAGGAGCTGCTCCTGGTGCTCCGTTCCAGCCCTGGCGGTGACCTTGGGAAGGAATTTTCATCCCTGCCCGATTAAACGCGGCTCATCCCTGTGAATCCCTCAGGGGGATCCTCAGCTCTCCAGTGCTGCAGGAAAGTGTCTCCCCCTCCTCGGCGAACAGGGAGAGTTCTAATTACAGGGGAAGTGCTAATTACAGAGTACCGCTAATGATGAAACAGAGCCCAGTTCCAGCGGGATCAGCGTGGGAGCTCTCCCAGACTCTGGGATTTTTCCAGGGAAGCACTGACAAGACTCAACAGCACCCACGACACCCCCCCGTGGGACAGCCAGGAGGATTTGGGGTCAATCCAAAACAATCTTGGGGTTTTGAAGCCTAATTTACAGAAGGGAATAGTGGTCTGAGATGGGGACGATTGCCTGGAACCTCTCAAGTGACTGATTTAATCTGAATGCTGCCATAATGTTTATAATTAATGTTTATAATTAAACTCCGGGTGTTGTGGGGTGCTTGGAGCTCCTGCCTTGGCCACAGGAGGGAACTGGAGTGCCCAACTTTTCCCAAAACTGTTTTGGAAGAGTTTCCTGGTACTTGTGGCAAAATTCTGGGGCTTTATCCAGGATGGCTTGGAAAGGGATTGGAGGAAAACAGCCAGCTCGGTGTGTCTGTGGTGCCCCTGAACAAAGAGCCTGAAGTGACCCTTTTTTGTGTCCTATTATTACCCATATTTCATAATTGAATTGTTTAATTTAATGAATGTATTTAGTGATTGTTGCATTTTCCTGCAGCAACTCTCTCCAGCCCCCCAGGCCTGGCAGCAGAAGGGACAGGGTGGTGGCAGAGCCCAACCCTGGCAGGGGAAGACATAAATCCCAGATATTCCTGTGGGCAGACTGGGAAATGGCTCCAAACTGTTCCTTGTTTTCCTGGCTGCAGAATGAGGCTCCTTTCCCCGTTTTTTCCTGCACAGGAATTCCACCAGGAAGCGTCTTCCTCCTTTTCCTCCTCCTCTTCTTCCTTCTCCCATCCCAAATTCCACACTCAGGTGAGTGAAATTATTCCATATGATGCCAGAGGAGGAATTGGGGCAGGATTTGTGCCTGACCCTGCTCTGTAATCTCAAAAAAAACAACCCAGGTCACTTCCCGGAGCTCTGGAGGTGCCAGGGGTGACCTGGGGACAGGTTCTGGGATTTTGGGGTGAGGAGCAGAGGGACCCGAGTAAGGAGATATTTGCAAAAGAGGGAAAGGAGGAAAAGCATCAAATCCACGTGGAATTCAGCAGCTAGAGGGGAAAAAAATTGAGGTTCCTCCTAACCCAAACGATTCCATGATTTTAATGTGTTAGGCTGGGAGAGTGTGGGAATTAACCCTGCACAGGTGATTTGTGCAGATGTGGAATTTCCCAGCTGGAATTCCAAGGGGACAGCCTGGGATAGGGAATGACTGCTGTCCTTAAAGCGATTTTTCAGCAAGAAAAAATCAGGAATTTTAGGAGGAATGGATTTAAACAGAGAAAGGGGAAAATGAGCACAGGGGAGGGAGATGGGATGTGGCTGCGGGGCGTTGGTGCCTGGTTGCTTCCAGGCTGGAAAGCTGCTCCTCTCATCAGGGAAATGGTTTCCCTGGGGATGGTTTCCCGGGAAAGCCGAGGCCGGGATGGTTTTCCAGGGAAGCAGCTCCAGGCAGGGTGAAATCAGCCCCGACTGCCTTGATCTCGGCGGCAATTCTGGAGCGGAACGGGGAGAGCGGCGCTGGAGCAGGACCGGGAGGGTCGGGAGAGAACAGGGCCAGGAGCTCCGGCCGGCACCGGCGTGGGGATGGCTCGGATGGAGCTGGGACGGGGAGCGAGAACCGGGAGCGAGTGGGAAAGAACCGGGATCGAGCAGAAAGAACCGGGATCGAGCGGGAAGAACCGGGATCGAGCAGGAAGAACAGGGAGCGAGCGGGAAAGAACCGGGATCGAGAGGACAGAACAGGGATCGAGCGGGAAGAACAGGGATCGAGCGGGAAGAACAGGGATGGGGGAGAAAAGCCAGGACAGGGCGAGAGGAGCCCAGAGCGAGCGGGACGAGCCGGGAGTGGGACAGAAAAGCTCCGGATCAGAAGGGAAGAGCTGGAACGGGGCGGGACGATTCAGGACAGAGCAGGAGGAGTCGGGGCCGGGCGGGACGAGCCGGGATCGAGGAGGAGGAGCCGGCACCGGGCGCAGGCGCTGCACCGGCATCCGCTGCTCGGCCGGGCCTGGCGGTGAGGACGCGGGGGGGCCCCGGACGGGGCGGCCGGAGCCGTGGGGGACCCCGGGGTGCGCGAGCGGGGGT